GCAAACTGCCAAAACGTCTGCTTTTATAAAGGTGATCACACTTGAAGATGATCAAGTAATCAAGGGCATTTGATTAGCAGCGCCTGACTGTTACTTACCCTCTTAACTCCTGTGAAAGCAGTCCTTAGTTTTTCTCACATGGCTTCTCCCTTTTGGCCCAGTTTTTGTTAAATAAATAATGGCACGGTGTAATATGGTATATGTTGTTGTTCATCTGGGTTGTATTTACCTAATTTTAAGACCAAAGAACCAGATGATTTTTTATAATGTCCTGATATGTAAAACCATAGAATTCAAAGAGGGTGTACTTTCTTTTTCACATGACTGTAGTGAGACTATGGAGCACCTCAGTTTTATTTAGAGGCCCAAACTGAGCAAAAACATGCAATTTTGTGCAATTGCTGTTATTTATACGGTCAAAAAGCAAGATGTAATTCTGATATAATACATCAGTAATGACATCTTTATAGCAGTGTAAAAAACTACTTGCATAAAAGGTATAGAAAAATCAGTTGTCACTCTGTATGTCCCATTAATATCTTATTTAGATGAAATTTAATTTCTTAGTTGTATGATCAATGCTCTGTATTTTTCATTGTGGGGAGCAAAACATACAGTATAATGCAATGCAATATAATGCAATACAATAACGATTGCGAGAACGTTTTAAAACGTGTTGTTTCATATTTGATACTTACAGTTTATAGAATGTACCGCTATGACGCATTTATGATGACGTTGGCTTCCTGGGAAACTCTTATCCTTCACAATGAACAGCTGTTGTATGGAGTTCATTAAAGATTTGGCATGGCTCATATCCTATAATAACATCTTTTTAGTATAGGCCTAGATTTCACTAAAGAATTGTGTTGTGACAGTGCTCACTAAGCATGAAAAATACACAAAGTGGGCTCAGATATTTGTGCGTAGTATTTCTTCAGGCTGCCATTGTCCGGGTTCATCTGTGGTGCAATTCGAACACTACTTTATCCATTGCATGTGCATGTGCATGTCCCAGGAATGCTGTCTGTTTTGAAATGGCTCAAAGCATCCTTTTACAATTCAAATAAATGTTTAAAGGGTCAACTGTTTCTCATAAAAGTTTTCAGTGAAAGTGTTTTTCATTACACAGAATAATTTGACAATTAAACATGTTTAAACATTTTACAGTTGATACCTCTATGCTATATCAATCAATCCACAACATTACTCTTTTTTTTAAATGAATAAACTGCCTGTAGAAACTTGATTTGCTGTTCCTGATGCTGCCAAATAAGAGCAAGTGAAATGTCCTCGAGCCTGGAAATTTGTAAAAAAAGAAAAGAAAGTGTGCTGGAGCACTTTCAATTACATTGGCAGATTTCGTTTTTTTTTTTTACAGAAGCATGATGATTTACCTTGCTCACGTCACAAGTTCCACATTTCACAATAATAAGGACCTGATAGGCAGACTCAGACATGTGGTCTCCTCACAGAACTTGAACATTCCCTGGCTGAAAGATTAAACTCAGTTCAGTATTCACCTAATTGTTAACACAAGAGCGAATGCGGCCAATTTTAACTTGAATATGCAAGACATCTGGTTTCAGCCACTTCCAGTTATTTTAGCTGTACGAAAACAGCCCGGTATGTTGCTGGTTAACTGGTATTGGTTTTTGGCTAATAAATTGGATATTTTGCACATTCACAGGAAATAGCTTACTTCATCATTGATAAATAAGCTGAACAAAACACAGCTGTCTACTGTATAGCCCATAAATGCCTGAGGCAAGTTGGTCCTGACTCTGGAAACCCCCTTACGCAAGGACATTACACAGACGTCTGAGCACAAATACCTTATTTCTGTTAAAAAATTACCCTCACTGCACATTCTGAAAACGTCTTCATTTTTTCTCAAGTATTTAATGTAGAAAATTTTTGGTTTGAGTTTTTTCATCAGATAAAAAACACAGTTTAGTAGGAGTTTGGTTGAGATTTTCCCCTGAGGTCTTTAAGTTATGTTTCCTGCCCACAACAAAACCCCAATACTCAAGAATTCTGCTCTGACATTTTCTGCAAGTCACATAACCAGATACAGGGGAATCTCTACCCATTACCCATCAACGATTCCTATCTTAGAGAGGTTTGCTCTTTCAGCATCACTGTACACATTAGATTAGGGGTCACCAACCTTTATCAAGCCAAAGACCTCTTAGATGGAACAGTTTAAACCTGACCTATAATAACATACGAATATCATATTCATGTATTTACAAACTTTGCCAGGATGCTTGCACTGTCATTAATTAAAATAACATATTTTAATTGGGAGGGACACGAGACATTTAGCTGAAGTTTAGATTCTTATCTATGCTTTAACATTAGCTTGGGTTGAACCTAATTTTGCCTGATGAATCTTGGTTAACATTAACATTGCTTATACATGTACAGTAGGCCTATAGGAAACACAACGCAGTTGTAATCAAAGAATGTGTTTGGCTATGTCTAAATGTCAAAATCTAAAAAAAATCTTTTAGAATGCAGTTCTTTGTGTCCACAGCTTGGAACCCCCCAAAAATCAAGTAGGAGCCAGATCTCATATTATAGAACTCAGTGTCTGTACTTGCAGGAAGTTGCACAATATGTCGTTTTGATTCAGCATCCCCTAAGGCAAGATCAAAGTCCAACCTTTTGTTCTCTAAGTATTATGCAAGTTTCATGATTGAGAAAGATGTGTGTCTTGTGCTCAGAGGAAACAGAATTTTTAGCATACTCTCATTTTTTGTTAGCGGTTTCTTCTAGTTGTCTTTTCTCTTTCACTTTTATAATTTTTTGGACACTTTGAATAAGAATATGCTATCTGTTTTTCTGTCTGAATTTTGAAATGTGTCCTGTGCATCAAACTTTTCACACGCATTTGGCATATTAATTGTACAGTTTCACATTCTCTGATAAGTCATCAGAACTGATTTTATCTTTTTTTTCTCATAAAGCTCGGGGTCTTCTAAAAAGGATGTGTGACCTCACGTCGGAGTACCCCATACGTCTGAAAACCACACCTGTGTATATACAGATACAGATATCAGACAAGACATAGGGCCAGTTATCTCTTTTCTTTTATATTGTAGACTTTTTTTTATTGGGTAGGCCTAAACTCATTGCAGTACACCTATATAAAAATACTATTTCAAACCATGTATTCTATTGTACGTTTTATTGATTTTTGAATGGTGTTGTGAAAACAATTAGCGATAAACTACACTTTAAGTGCCTTTAAATGAAAAATAATGTATACCTTATCAAAATGTTTGTTAGCACTAAATTATGCATCTGTATTATATTATAGAAGGCAATACATTTACAGTACAATATTGCTGATATTGTTAAAAGTAACAGGTATGAAACCCCCTCATGCATTCCAAGAAATTCTGTGCATGACACATCACATTTATTTAGAAAGATTAAAAAAAGCGTTTGTTTCTTATTTTTTTCATTTATGTTCATCAGGCTGTTTTTTTGTTTTATTATGTTATTCACTAAATGTTGATAGCATTCATTTCCTTTTATGCCTGTTACAGTAATGGCGTTTTATCTTTGTGTTGGTAACCCCGAGCTCTGTCTCTGTTATTATTGGCCACCAATGCTGGAAAGGCTAATCTGATGAACTTTAGTCCTTCCATTATGTTATTAATAGAACATTTTACAGCTAAAACAGATTTTAACAGTTCAAATATGTTAGCATAATAACAATTAAATCATTGAATGACATATACAGGTCCACCAAAATTCTATCTAATAATGCTTGTATTTCTATAGCAACTTTCTGTTGCTTCTTTTGTATGATAAATAAAAATGTTCACGTGCATTGAGATCTGTTTCAGGTTACTGAAATCAAGAGTTGACAGTGATGATAATCTTGAAATGTGTACATACTGTATAAACCTGCTATTTCTTCTGAAATTATTGGTGAGTGTTAAACTGTCAAAGCATTGAAAGTCTTCTTCCCACACATGAAACGCTTTCTAAGGAGTGTACGGTAGCCAATTAGTTAAAGGGTATTTCACAGGCCGCTAGAAGAATAGGGCAGAAAAGCATGTATGAAGATGAACAGGTTCCACAAGGCTGATTGGAAATTCTGCTGATAAAAAATGTGACTGCTCAATGCTGCTTAATACATACATATGCATACAATAGCCTACATATGCCAAAAAAAGAAAAGGAACATAAAAAGTGTGAGAACATTAAAGTGGCGCTGTTTACATGGAAAACAGATGGATTAGAAGCGAGTAAAAAAAGAATAGTCTATATACAGTGGCCCAGATAAAGTAATTGGACACTTTAACCTTAGTGTGTAAAGGTATCTAAATACTGTTTGAGGCCATACATTTATTATCCGATAAAATACTAAATATTAACTCCATCTACCTAATAATCAAAGGGGGAAAAAAAATGCTTGGAAGTCAAGTGTATGATGGGAATTATGGAAGTTATGGGAAATTTCTCTTGACTTGGGAAATTGTCCATTGTCTTTTTCAGGATGTACGTTCCCCCTCTAGAGATACGAGCGGGATCTGGAGTAATGTGAGGAAAATTACGACTCAGTCACTGATGTTTATTATTTCAGACAGTTCCATTTTAGTCTTTTAAGATATCCATCCATGCGTCACTGGGATTTTTTTGTAGCAAAATTAAAATGTATGGAATCTGATAAAATATTTCTTGTTTTTGTTATTTATTTTTCCAGTGCCACAATTTCTAGGACTATGATGTCTCAAATGAAGTTATTAATACCAAGTTATTTTAATGTTGAGTTTTTTTAGCTAACTTCTTTTTATTCTCTATTTATTCTCTAACGTCTCTTCCCTTTATCTTCTATATTATCACTTTATTCAGACTTTACTCATAAAACTGCTCTATAAATATTTTTATTAAAGTATTCTTACTATGCAAAATGAAAGTAAACACAAACACTTTATTTATAGTATTTACTTCATAGTTTTATTTCCATTAGTTTCGTAAAATCTGTTCTTCATGACCCACAAATTTCATGATCCAAAACATTTAGTATCAAAACAGGCTTTTAAAAAAATAATACAAATGAATAAAAAGCAGGTTGAGGTTAACAAATGTGCTTCATATAGTCATTACACATAGCATTTTCATATCTCTTATCCTTTTTCTTACAGTCACACTTAAATACAGATGTTCAATAAATAGAAAATTTCATTAATTTAACACACAAACTATAAAGCAACTTTTATAACAGTTTTAGAGTCAAGGGTATTCATTCATAGAATGATAATGCACTTTTTTACAAAAAAGACAAATTAAATCAGTTCATGTAGCTTGTTCCAGTTGTTCAGTTCATTGAGAGTGCAGTGTCCCAAAGAGCTTGTCCCAGTGAGTGAAGTATGGAGCGTAGTTGGACTTGAACCTCTGATGGTGGACATCATGGTGTGGAGCTCCTCCATACAGTCCAAAAGGCACCAGTCTGTGTGTCGCCCATGGCAGGTCATAGCCACAGTGGTCCTCAACTGACAACCACATGTTCAGCATATGGAAAAGCATCTCTGTCATAGGATGAACCCCCAGTAACATGGGATTCACTGCAGCGAAGAAACCCAAAGACAGAGTCTCCCAAGCTCCTGAGTACTCAGTGGCCAGGGCGAAGGTGGACGTGTATTTGTGATGCACCTTGTGGAAAGTGCGGTAGAGCCAGGGTACTTTGTGATGCAGAAGATGCCATACGAAGTACTGGAAGTCAAAGAGAAGCAGGCAGGCAGCGAGGTCCCAGACGACTCGCAGGACCCCAGGTGCCACCGCTGGGTAGCTGACGGGTCTCCAGTACCAGTTCAGGACGCTCAGCGGGAAGATGTACACAGCATGGTTGTAGAGGGAGAGCGCGAGGCAGCTCCAAATCATAGTCCAAGACACGTTGGTTTTCTGTTGAATCTTGTATCTCCTTATTAGTGCTATCCTAGGAGACAGGGCATCCAGAATGACAAAAGGCAGGCAGAAGCTCATGTAGACTGTAAAAGAGAAGAGCACAGGGAAAAATGGAGACTTTAGCATGGCCTCGTACTGCATAATGCAGCCCCAGATGTGCTGTAGTCCAAACATTTCAATTTCTTTGGCAGTTCTGTATCTGAATGGCAGCACATGGCTTCTGTGGAGCTTATGTAGTATAAAAGACCCGCCCCTTTCTTACTTACCTACGCTCTCTGCCCTAAATGGTTCTTCCTGTTGGAATTTCCAGGAAATTTTGTGGTAGCCTAGTGTGTGTGTGAAGATCAGAGAGGTTATCTGCTTAACTTATATTTACCAGATAGGTAATGATAAACCATCATTTATAAATATAAAAATCCTGAAATGCTGTAGAGACTGAAAACTACATGGGTAAAAATTTACTTTTTAAATACAAAAAAAAAAAATAATAGTTTACTACAACAATTGTATAATTGAAAACAAGGATGGAAAGACAGTGTATTTAAGACAGTACAGACATAATAGCGAAACAAACAAAAGAGTAAGTTAAAATTCAGAACCTGTAAACGAATTTACGATTAGTCAATGGCACAGTAGATAGCAGATCAAGGAGTAAATCTCGTCCAGTCCCACTATTCATATTGCACACTTTGGTATTCTACTGTAAACCTGGCAAAATATTCATTAATCATACGAAAATGTGAATTAAAAATTTCCGTGCGTCACCTTAACGTCTGTAGAGTTGCCTAAAAGCAGAGACAGTGGGACAGTTATTTCAGTTTTACCATAGCCTACGTAACACCGCTGCCTGCTGTTTATAACAGGCTACTGCAGATGCTGAAACGAGTCAAGATTTTTGCTACGTCAGTTGGAGTTGTCACACATCTATGGAAAGTGTGCTTCTGAAATGTGTAGCCTAATGGAAAGACAGAAAGACACACAACTACTAGTTAGCTAAAACTTCACAGCACATAAAAAATATAGCCCACTAAATATTCGAGAATGTAATTTATTAAGTTGAGTTAAGCCTACTTATGATAAAATTACACACGCTATTACCACAGGGAAAATTTTGCAGCATAATATATGAAAAATAAAAATGTATGAAATCCAAGTGATTTCTATTTTAGATTTAAAACAGTGTTTAGCATCATACTTTACCTAGGCTACTTCACAATTCATTCATTCATTCATTCATTCATTCATTCATTCATTCATTCAACAAGGTAACCGACAACCGGATAGTTGAACAATAGGCTGCCGTCACACATTATGGGTTTATGACATATTAAAAAAAATCAAAAGTGATTTAGAACAACACATCTTCTTTAACAGCGTATCAGGAAAGCGAAACTTATCTCTCTTTTCTTTACTTTCGTTTTCTTGACGTTTCAGCAGGCTAGCAGTTTCAGCAGAAAAGAGTCTATATTCAGCACATCCTCGTGAAATGAGGTAGGAGAAGCACTTATTGTAACATTTATCAACTAAACGTGTAATTAAAATGTATCTATTGCAAAAAAAAAAAGAAAGAAAAAAAGTCTCTATATTGCCTACGCATGTGCTAAATAATGTCAACCTGTCTAAAACACGCCGACGAAAGACCGAATAACAGAATGTCAACATATACTGTAATTCTATGTTCTTCGATTAATATAGGCCTATATCTCGAAGTTATTATATCGGTAACACTTTACAATAAGGTTCATTAGTAGTTAATATATTAACTAACATGAAGTAACAATGAGCAATACATTTGTTACAGTATTTATTTATCTTTGTGAATGTTAATTAATAAAAAAAAAACTGCTGTTCATTGTTTGGACATGTTAGTTCACACTTCACAGTGCATTTACTAATGTTAACAAATGCAGTTCATTTTATTAATAACATATTACGTAAATGTTAAAAGTTAATATTTACTAAGATTAATAAATGCTAAAGAAGTATTGTTCATTCCTAGTTCATGTTAACTAAGGTAGTTTACTAATGTTAACTAATTAACTTTATTGTAAAGTGTTACCATTATATCTTTAGCATATCTAAATTAGTTTTGCAAAATAGTACGAGCAGTAGACCTACTGTGGTTATTTAGGCTTATAAAATACATGCTATTGTTAATCCTAACAAATTCCTTAGTTATGAAGAGATTGTTTATTTATTTTTCTTATGTCTCCAGCAACGAAAACATGGAAGCAAAGCTCAGGCAGCTGGAGTGTCTTTTTACATGGGGTGTAGAAAAATCTGACATAAGGGATTTGAACAGCTTTCCAGACAAACTCCATGACAGGATCACATTTTTTCCACAAAAGTACCATGCCACGTATTTCAACCTTCTGGCTTTTATTAGCCACTTGGAGGGTAAAACCGAGTGTGCGCTGGACTACCTTCAGAAGGCTGAATTGGCATTAAAGGAAGAAAAGCAAAAGGAAGCTGAGTTCCTGGTGACATTCTCCAGCTTTGCATGGGTGCACTATCACTTACAGAGGCTAAATGATGCAGACGATTACTTGAACAAAGTGAAAAGTATCTGCAAGGACATAACGGGTTCATCAGATTACTCCTGCAGCTTGCCTGTAGTACATGGTGAGAAAGCCTGGAGCTTTCTGAGACTTGGAGCAACATTCTATGACCAAGCAAAAGAGAGTTTCTCTAAGGCTCTTGAGGCAGAACCAGACAACATTTTGTTTAATGTGGGCTACGCAATAGTGCTTTACAGGATAGACGGCATAAACAAAGCAGAAGACACTGGAACAGTCACCCAACAGCTTAGAAAAGCTTTCAGCCTAGAGCCCACAAACACTGAGATCATGGTACTTTTGGCTCTGAAACTCCAGAGGTCAAGAAGACAGGAAGCCCAGCACCTTATAAAAGAGGCCCTCAGGATGTCTCCTGATGTTCCACAAGTAACCAGATACGTGGCCAAATACTTCAGGGCCGAGGGATCCATTGAAGAATCACTGTGTGTCCTCAAGAGGGCAGTAGAGCTTGCTCCAAACTCCTCCTTTCTGCACCATCAAATTGGCCTTTGTCATAAACAACAGCTTATTCAGATGTCTGAGGAGAGGAGGGCCGGGAGGCGCATTCCTGAGGCTCAAAAAGCCTCTATGGTGGCTGAATGTATCCAACACTTCTCAAAGGCTGTAGAGCTGAAGCCTAGCAATATTTATGGCAAAGTGGATTTAGCAGCGGCATATGGTGAGAACCGGCAACTTGGAGAGGCAGAGAAGATCTTTAGCAGCCTGATAGATGACAAAGCTCTCAGTGAGTCTGATAAGCAGCACTGCCACACATGCTATGGTTTGTTTTTGCTCTACAAGAAAAAGAATGAAGACAAAGCAGTCAGTCAGTTCAAGGCAGCATATATGATTCCAGCCAACACCTATGAAAGGAAACAAGCTGGCAAGAAGCTCAGACTGATCGCAGAGAGGAATCTCAACGCCAAGAAGAAAGTCAGTGAAGCATCTGAGATTTTGGCCTTCATATCTTCTGAAGACAAGCAGGAGACGCAAGCAAAATAGTATTTGCCCAGCAGCAACACTACTCATACTAAGGAGCTGTCAAAAAACTTGTGCTAAGGCACAGACATTTTAACTAATTTCTTGCGTGTACATATATTTATCAAAAACAACTTTTACAAGGCTACTAATATTCACTTATTCATTTACATTTATTTATCAGATGTGCTTTTATCCAAAGCAACAAATGAGGAACATTGCACACTATTCATAAGCGCTAACAATATTTGCAGGACACAATGTCATAAGCTAGAACAGTACAAAATAGCAGAAATAAAATGCAAAAAAGTAAAAAAATAAAACATTACTTAGTCTTACTAACCCGACTAACTCTACTAACACTAACCAATCTCAGACCAGCACTGCTTCTCACTCAAACATCAAAATAAACCAAATTATCAAACAATCTAAAAATACATATCTGGAACATTGGGATCAGGAAACTAAAACACAAAGTAAACCACAATTGATGAAATGCACGGAATGTTCTTAAGAACTTCCGCAATTATATAAGCTAGCTGGAAACCTTCTGGTGAAATGTCACTTGTTGGTGTGGCATTATCTTCAATGTCCTCAGGGAGCTTTAACAGCATGAATAATGTGATAGTTTATAATAAGAATAAAGTAACTTTAATATTCAGGCCTAGCCTTACTAGTAGCATGAATAGTCAGGCCTAGCATTACTAGCATGAATAGCCAGGCCTAGCATTACTAGCATGAATAGTCAGGCCTAGCGTTACTAGCAAGAATAGTTAGGCCTAGCATTACTAGCATGAATAGTCAGGCCTAGCGTTACTTATTGACTCTTTTGACAAAGCGTCTATATCCAACGCACATGGCACCCTTTAGCGTCATATGAGACGCAGATATATGGCGCCTCCTAGTGGTCTAACCCTAACACTACCCCAGACCTAAACCTACCCAAAACCGAAGCGTGTTATATTGACGCTAAAGGGTGCCATGTGCGTTGGATATAGACGCTTTGTCAAAAGAGTCAATATATTACGCTTTGGGATGAGAATGCGTTGGCAGGGCTGAGAGCCAGAGACACGTTGCTGTTTTTATTCCGCATATCAGTCAGCCTCGGCCACTCCTTTTTTGCTTTGTTGTTTAGGCATATTTTATGATCAAAGTTACGATTAAATAATATTTTATTATCAAATTACTTTAAGGATTGAACTAGAACTTTGTTACAGTAAGGTGTACAGGGTGAGCAAGACTGGGTAGAGCACTGCCCCCTGTGGTGCTCCTGTGCTGCTGACTACGGTCTCAGAGATGTCGTCTCTCAGTTGAACGTATCTATCTATCTATCTATCTGATATGTCCGTAAAATTACTGGATAATGTCCGGGTAATGAGCTGCTAGTAATTTTTCTGTTATTTTACACATTTATTTGTTACAATTTGTGATCACTTAAATTCACATTATGTTTTTTCATTCTAATGAAACAGCTGCAAATGCTGAATTACTACTCATACATGTCACTTTATCTGACGTATATCAATTTTGGGGTAATGCAGTGCTGTTTTACTTGGTCAAAACAATCTAAAATACGTTTGAGTGTGGGGAAAGTTGTCATAACGTGACTCATGTGCATTAGCTTTGTGGCTGGTATGAGACACTTGTTGCACATTGCAGTGAGCTAGATCGATATTAGAATATCATATTAATAAAAGCTGCATGGCTTGTGTTGCTAAATGGAATGCAATTAATTGTAAAATATATTGTATGGTGGAGAAAACTCTGTATTACTGTTACTACAAATAAGCTCTTTCTGATTATGCTATATTAGCCACTTGACAAAATATTGTTGTCTCTAAAGCATGGTACAAACATGTTACTTGCGGAAAATCAAGAAAACAAAGAGATTTAAACAATAAGACTTCTGCGTTGAACTATATAACAATTAATAGTTTTCTGTCTATAAAAGGATCCATTTCTCACCTGTCTAATAAAATGCATAACATATTAAAGTCTTTGTTGTTTCCATGGTTTCTACGAAAAATCAAGGGTAGCATGTACACTCACCTAAAGGATTATTAGGAACACCTGTTCAATTTCTCATTAATGCAATTATCTAATCAACATCACATGGAAGTTTCTTCAATGCATTTAGGGGTGTGGTCCTGGTCAAGACAATCTCCTGAACTCCAAACTGAATGTCAGAATGGGAAAGAAAGGTGATTTAAGCAATTTTGAGCGTGGCATGGTTGTTGGTGCCAGACGGGCCAGTCTGAGTATTTCACAATCTGCTCAGTAACTGGGATTTTCCTGCACAACCATTTATAGGGTTTACAAAGAATGGTGTGAAAAGGTAAAGACATCCAGTATGCGGCAGTCCTGTGGGCGAAAATGCCTTGTTGATGCTAGAGGTCAGAGGAGAATGGGCCGACTGATTCAAGCTGATAGAAGAGCAACTTTGACTGAAATAACCACTCGTTACAACCGAGGTATGCAGCAAAGCATTTGTGAAGCCACAACACGCACAACCTTGAGGCGGATGGGCTACAACAGCAGAAGACCCCACCGGGTACCACTCATCTCCACTACAAATAGGAAAAAGAGGCTACAATGTGCAAAAGCTCACCAAAATTGGACAGTTGAAGATTGGAAAAATGTTGCCTGGTGTGATGAGTCTCGATTTCTGTTGAGACATTCAGATGGTAGAGTCAGAATTTGGCATAAACAGAATGAGAACATGGATCCATCATGCCTTGTTACCACTGCGCAGGCTGCTGGTGGTGGTGTAATGGTGTGGGGGATGTTTTCTTGGCACACTTTAGGCCCCTTAGTGCCAATTGGGCATTGTTTAAATGCCACGGCCTACCTGAGCATTGTTTCTGACCATGTCCATCCCTTTATGGCCACCATGTACCCATCCTCTGATGGCTACTTCCAGCAGGATAATGCACCATGTCACAAAGCTCGAATAATTTCAAATTGGTTTCTTGAACATGACAATGAGTTCACTGTACTAAAATGGCCCCCACAGTCACCAGATCTCAACCCAATAGAGCATCTTTGGGATGTGGTGGAACGGGAGCTTCGTGCCCTGGATGTGCATCCCACAAATCTCCATCAACTACAAGATGCATCCCTATCAATATGGGCCAACATTTCTAAAGAATGCTTTCAGCACCTTGTTGAATCAATGCCACGTAGAATTAAGGCAGTTCTGAAGGCGAAAGGGGGTCAAACACAGTATTAGTATGGTGTTCCTAATAATCCTTTAGGTGAGTGTATATGACATCATTGACAGGCGATGCAATGACACGGGCCGTTAGACTGGTTAAAATAGTTGATTTCTCTGGATTTAAACATTGTTGGAAACATTTGGGATAATGTAAGTACACAAGTCAACAAAATATATAACATTGCTTTAGTGGATATTTTAATCCAAAAATATTTTGCCTTTAACAGATATCAGAAAGTAACAAATAAAAGATACAGCATCTATATATATCTTTTATCTGTTACTATCTGATGTGATATCTGTTAAGCCACATATATATCTATAGCTGAACATGACAGTAAATGAAAGAATTAGATATGCAGAAAAAGCATGACACCAGATACCAGATGACTGAGAATGTTTTAGACCAACCTGTATTTAACTAGCAAGTATCACACATCGCCTGAGGCAGCCTTTAGCTCTCTCTTTCCAAATATATTCAGCCAATGTTTCAGTTTCTATTCTGAGTTTAACCCTCCCATTTCTAGGAGAAGACATAAAGCCTGCCCGCACAATCCACATCAGACTTCTGAAACATTTATCACACAGACGTCGATGTTGAGGTAAGTACAGTACATGCCTACAATTACAAATGTTTTGCAGTTGGCCTACAATATTTTTTAAGAAAAGTTATTGATTTAGGCTACGTATTGTTTCATTATTTTCCTGTTATCACTGTAAAGGTGCTTTGAAACAATATGGTAAAAAGTGCTATATAAATAAAGGTGACTGACTTTTGACTTCATATCTGATGCTATAATAACTTAAGTAACCCATATATTTATTTAAAATCTATGATACATATCTGTAGTAAACAGCAGATCATATAGAAATATATTTTGCCTTCAAATGCCAAAGTGTATTATAAAATGTACTTCAAGGGGCAAGAACATTTCCAATTTAAAAAATACAATTTTGATAAAATGTACTTTTTAAAATATTTTGGTGAATATAAATATATTTAAATAAAAAAATATATGAATAAAAATAGCCAAAATACATGAGGAAATACAAGTAACTACAAATAATATACTTTAAAATCTATATTAGCAATATATTTTTGAATATTGTTCCATATGGGAATTGCTTATCTTTTCTTTTTTTCAGAATGGAACCTGACAGAACTTTGAGAACAAAACTTCACCAGCTGGAATGCCACTTCACCTGGGCTCTGATAAAAGATGATATAGAGCTACAGGATGTTTTCAATAGACTGCAAGAACAGATTAAAATGGACCTGGCAAATAAAGAAAGACTTGCCCGAACTTACAGTGCTTTGGCATATGTCCAATTCCTTCAGGGGTTTCACGAGGAGGCACATAACAACCTCATGATATCCATGGAGCTCCATATTGAATGCCAAAGAGATGAATTTCACAAGACTCTGATTGTAACTTATGGAAACCTTGCCTGGTTAAACTACCACATGACGAACTACAAAGAGTGTGAAAGTTACCTGATGAAGCTTCAGAAGATAAATGAAACATTGCCAAAAGAGACTTCATCTGTTCCAGAGGTGCTTGGTGAGAAGGGATGGAGTTTTCTTAAATTCTCACAGAAATATTACAACAGAGCCAAAGAATGTTTCAGAAAGGCTTTAGAATTGGAACCAGATGAAGGCGAGTGGAACACTGGTTATGCTATTGCTCTGTATCGCACCGAATTCAAGAGTATGGAGTACACTTCGGAGGATTCGCCCACAGTCAAGCAACTGAGACGGGCCATTGACAAGAATCCAGATGACGACGTTCTCAAGGTCCTCTTAAGCTTGCGACTGATTGTTTACAAGAAGAACAAAGAAGCTGAAAGCTTGGTAGAAAAGGCTTTAGAAAGATCTCCAGATCACCCACATGTCAACCGATATGTTGGGAAATACTT